TAGCCTGGCGTAACCAGCGGTGCTACGCCAGTTTTGAGTTCTGAGTCTGCTCCTCTCCTCTATGAGTTCTTCCTTGATCGTGCTAGATCCGATCGCAATCGCTTATAAGCGATGACGCGGCTGCCGTTCTGGCTCGTTACCATAAACTACTATGTGACCTGGTACCGAAATTAGTTGGATAACTAGATCCTGTCTCTGTTCATTTTGGAGCCATCGGAAAAGATTTTAAAATACGTCAGCATGGGATAGGTAATGAAATTAGTTGGATAGCTAGATCCTGTCTCTGTTCATTTTGGAGCCATCGGAAAAGATTTTAAAATACGTGTCAGCATGGGCTAGGTGATGTAATCCCACGGGCTTGGCAAGAAGACTTAACTGGTTTGTCCTATTGCATGTATGAAGGTAGAACTAGTTCAGCCTGGACAAAACCACGATGTCCTAAAATCGAGTTTGGTCGGTAACATGCAGGGCACACTCGGTAATCGCGACTACCAATTATCGTAACGATGCAGTTATTGCGACAGCTTAGTTTTCCTTGGAGAGTTTTGGTTTAATTTAATGACTAATTCTCTCAAAAATTCATGGATATGAAAAGTATAAGCTGTAGATACAGTGGCAAAGATATAAATAGAGAAGAGACATTTTAACATTATTTAATGTTACTTGTTTTAATATTATTATAATTTTTTGAGGTGTATGCAGGGAAGGAGGGGGGAAGCGCGGACTCGCCCATTACTTATATACCCTTGTGATCAGCTGATTAAGTTAGGTGACATCTTGACCAACTTTGTTTATTTAATGTATGTAAGATATTTAAAGCGTGAGTGAATTTTTAATATGGATCACACTAAAAGCTCCTTTTCATATAAACATTCGTATGTGTCCCACCCGTGACAGAGGAGTTTCGGATTTTTTTTTATAATAAAGCCATCATTTTTGTTGTAGTTTTTGCTTTGTTTTCTATGCGCGGTTCTTTGTTTTATTGTAAGATCAAGTTCATACAGAAAAAAGAAATAAATTCCAGAGTTTCCGTAAAATATATCTGCTCAAAAAGCTGGTTCTTTTTTCCCACCAGTAACAGAAGAAATAACTCAGATTTTTCCATATAAAGCGGATTTTTCCAAAGTAAGCGGATTTTTTTCGCATTTTTTAATAACTCATATAATAGTGAATTAGGTGTAGCTTTATCAAACTCTAGAATTGTTGAGTACTTTGTACTTAAATTTAAAGAAGAAAGATCATTTTTTCTGCACAAATGTCCCACCCGAGATAGTGAAATCGCTCATTTGTAAAATTCATACTCCCATGAAATTAAGAGAAGCACAACATGATGCATCTCACAGACGTATGTATGGATATCTCCTCAGCAACTTTCAGTAAGGTCCAATTTTTTCTCATTTTCGTTGTTGGTGTTTCCCAGCGAATCAAATCAAACTTTAAATGTACCTAGGTTATGTAAACTCGCGTCTACATATATATTAAGTATGTTTTTGTTTTAATTTGGAAATTTTCATTTTGAGATAAGATATTTATTTATTGTCTTTTAATAAATGTACTAAAGTTGATGCGTGATTTGCCTCATCTGTCATTGCTTCAATTAAGACATTTTTACGATTTTATAGCATGGAAATATTTAATATTTGCAAACATTGAAATGTATAAACAAATAATATATTCACATAGATTAATATTAAAATGGCTTTGAAAACAGACGGCGAAGTAAACTTTTTATTAAAGTAAGTCAAATGAGGTGCGTCCTTTTTGGGATGACGTAAACTCTCACTAATCCATACATACATACATATAAATACATAGCTGTAGGATAATGACTCAGGCACGTTTTGTCGTTAAAGCAGGGATACCTGTAGAGAAACACACTGGTGCCGAACTGGTACGGTTATAGAAAATTTAGAACCATGACTAGTTCGTGTTAATTCAATTTACATGTCAGCAACTGGCAAATTCGGGCATGCAGTAATACTCACTAAAATAAAAAGGTGCCGGTTCAATGGAATTAAGGCTGACATATAAGTTAGCTCTGATTACATTACGCCTGTTTGGGACTTCAATACGAAGGTACTCATTAGGTTCCCGACCAAAGAAGAATAGGATGCAGGATTGCCAGTGGTAGAGGGGGGTATACCAATCTACACTGATGGTGCAAAGATAGAACAAGGAACCGGAGCCGGTGTCTAGTCGAAGGACCTGCAAATCAACCGGTCCTCTCGTCTACCGAATGACTGTAGTGTCATCCAAGCGGTGATCTATGTTATAGAGAGGGCAGTTAGTCTTTTACTTAGTAAGGGAGCACTGAAGGCAATAGGATCTAAAATAGTGCAATTGGGAATTGTATGAAATGTCACACCACACTGGCGTCACTGAGTCGTATCAACGTCGCTCTATTCTGGTCTATTGAAGCGAATGAGCCGGCCGATGAGATGACCAGATGCGGCTCAGAAATGCCAATAGAAGAAGCGGCACCGTTTAGTGATCACGGTAAATACACCGTAGCCGCGTCGACTGACTTGTGGAAGAAACGAGAAGACTGTGAGATCACAAGATTATTATGGACGCGGCTTAGTAGAAAAAAGATAAGGAACATACTGAAACTCAATAAATCTGCAGTGAGAGTCCTTCGGGCGCCATCACGGGACATTATGCTATAGCACTAATAGTGGCAAATACCAGCAAGAAGAGTCAATTGATCATTTTCTGTGTCGATGTGCAGGTCTACAGGCGAAGCACCTCCAGCACTTGGTTTCACACTTCTTCAACGGTCTGAGCGAGATAGCGGAGGTGGAACTGTTGGATCTCCTCAGCTTCATTAGGGATAGTAATTGGTTCAGTAGAATAATGACTTGAAGCTATTCTTTCGATTATAGGTACGTGTCTTCTCCTGCCACTCACAAACAGGGCACTCACATTTAGGGTTGCCAACATTTTCTAAGATATTTATAGTGCTATTTCAAAAAAATCTGAAAAAATATAGTACACTTCAATTACATATAGTATTTTATTTAAAAGAAAAAGAAAAAAACGCTTTTTATGTACACATCATTTAACATCTTTGGCAGTTTTTAACAATTCCTTGATAACTATGAAAGAATCATATGGGCATATCCTGAGATACGGACGCGACATTCGCACGCGTAACTAAGCTTAAAATAGGAAGCAAACTGAAAGATCGTATGTATATCACAAATGTTACAAAGCACTGGGAAGGTGCTATATTCAAAACAAAATTTTTGGAAGTATAAACAGTTAAGTACATAGATACAAGCAAATTAAAAACGGTACGGACGCGACAAAAATTGAAGTTTTTTGGGATGTGTGCACATGCTTTATCGCAATAAAAATTTAAATTTATTTAAATAAAAAGTTATTTTTATTAGTAAGGTAAATACACCGCCATTTCACATTCTTAATAGAAAAACTCTTTCTGTGAATGCCGAAGTTGCAGAAATTGAGTAAAAATTAAATAACTCATTCTCAGGATTCCTAAAAATATGTTGCAATTTTTGTTCTGTGTTTCTATTCATAAACTCACTATAGCCTTTTATTTTAAAAAATATTTCATTAGATATTGGTTTTTTCTTGCAAATTACTGAAATATATTTTAATGTGTGTGCGCCAATAGCCCTAGCAGCTAGCGCTGTAAATAACTATTAAATTTTATGATTTGTTATAAATTTAGTTCAACAAATAAATAAATACTTATATTTATTTATAACTGAAGAGATATATTATTTTTGCATACTATATTTTTTCCAACAGTATATAGTACGCGGACTGAAAAAAATAGTACAATACCATATATTATAATACGGTTGGCAACCCCATTCACAATCGACATTTCTGTCTCCAAGACAAAGTATGGAATATTCCACACACGCCATCCTATCCTAACAGACGAATTTAACATTGCGATGTCCTACGAAGTGTTGGTTCACTAGTTCGTCTTTTTCCTGCAGGGTATATATATAAGTATATAAAAATTCAATATCATAGTTACAGAACTGGGCTATATAACAACAACATATATATATATATATATATATATATATATATGTGTATATATATACCTACGGCAGCCGCTGTACTTAGTATAAACGTACNAATAGAAAAAATCCTGCAGTTATCATCAATTTTCGTATCCGGAAAACGTTCGAAACGTTCGAAAAAGATGATGTTATTTGAAAGCAATAATTGTATTTTATTTGCTCAAGCTAAACATTTGAAAGCATGCATGCGTAGCTGGCAGTGGCTGAGCGTGCCGCTATTTGTTAGCTTCCAGAAGGTGCCGAATTCCGTCAGGCGCTTCCTAATTTTATTTTATTTCTTTTCAACCATGAAAAAATATCCGTGAACAGCTGAAAACGTTTCCGTTTCACATACGGTTGTCTGTATGTACGTTCCTGCCGCAGACTTTAGTGATAAAACGGATCGTCAAAGTATCCGAAAATGGAATCAGTAAACGCACAAAAATCTGCACTTCATCCACTTGTTTGTCCTTTATCGGATCGGTTTTCGGATTTTTTGCTGGCTGGGTAGTATGTATGCCATTACGTAAATATAAAAGTATACATTAGTAGTATGTATGTTTTTATGTATGCATGCTTTTATCGACTCCACAAGTGTTAATTTGTAAATTGTGTGTTTTATATGTTCACATTACTCATTTTATTTGTTTACTCTTGGTATTAATGATGGCCACGCGACGTCGCGACGTGACCCACTACCCTAACGTAGTGGGTGGGATAAGTGACGTATGCTAAAATTCGGGAGTGGTATGACCGATAGCGATATTCAGTGTGCATATTTGGAGATATACTTTATTTATTTTATTACAAGCAGTCTACGAACATAGCCAAAGCCAGCATGTGACCTCAATTTGCCACACTTGTTCTAACACTCTTGTTGTCTTGTTGAATTATCCTTGAGATTTGAAGGGTCACTCACTCTTCCAACAAAAAATAATAATAATAAATACATTAGCAAATCTGTTCTTTTTCAGGCAATTTCAATTATTCCTTATGCATTTGCGCTGACTTCGCGGCCTTGAATTTGAAGGGTCAATAACTTTTGGTTTCATATTTTCCAAGAACAAAATCCGCGCACCTAATATTTTCATGCCAGAGATTTTGAGATTTGTTTCTATGTGTACATACGTAAATTTGGGAATTCTGAGTATTTGTGCTTCTCAAATACATGCATTTATTGTTTGTATTTACTCAATCAGTTTGGAACAAATGCACAAATTTTTTACATAGTTAATAAAGCTGTTTTATTATATAAGTGCAGTTTTTTCATACCTCTGCATTTGTTAAATCCTTTTCTCTCAGTGTTAGACATTTTGGTTTTATCTGAAACGAAGAAAATATACAGTTTTAGATTCTTGGCGATCTATTTGAAAGAAAAAATTTGGTTCAGAATTGCATCGTACATGTTTCCAAAATCATAATCTCAAGCCGGTCGGATGCCCCTTCATTCGTAATTATGTAAGTTATGAATCAAAGAAAGAGCTTTTGGAAACTTGGCTCTTAATCTATTCACCCAAAACCTTACTTTAAAGCCAGTTTATCCACAATTTCTTTAAATGATGTGGCATTCGTACGATAGAAAATCAATGTGTTTCAAAGACATATAGGGCAGATCTGGGCATGTACTCTCCTCGTTTTCCCACGGCTTTTTTAAAATTCCTCGCTAACCTCCAATGACATGCCCAGGTTAAAGTAATGTGTTCTGTAAACTAGCGGAAAGTGCTTACCAATCGCGATTCACCACATATTTACTAAACAAAAAAAATAAAATAAATAAAAAATATAAAAACTTTATTTCTTCAAAAGTGATGCACCTGCTGCATTTTTAACAAGTCAATGAAGTGTAAAACCTAATTACTCTCATTTTACTTATAAGGCATTTGCCTATTTTGGTCGTGTCTTTATACAGGTATGATTTTCAAGAACTCTATACCAATTGTTCGAAAAAGTGTTTTTCCCAATATAAAATACATGGGCCACTTTATGGGCTTTGAGGCCCATGCACTTTTGGACCACCCTTATGTGCATGCATTTAATCAATGGCTAGTTTTGAAAACAAAACAAAATCTATTGTACACAAATGCATTATTAACCCATTTGTTGCATGTAATTATCCGTTAAGCGAAACTTCAGTTGTCGTAGCAATTACTCAGAATGATTTGAAAAACAATGAAAACACGTTTTCAGCATTCTTATGATCTAGGCATCGATAGATGAATCAAGTTTTATAACAATGAGTTACACGTACATAATTACTACGCTCTGTGACAACATCGATAGTTACTAAATACATATGTACATACCACATTCAAGGTACTCATAGTAAATAAAGCTTTACATGTATTTGCAAAAACACTAAAAACAAAGTAAAAAGCAATAAACGCTTGCAAATGAACGTAAAACTGCCGCGAACTAGAGCATGTAATATAAAAAATAAAAGTTGTTGTTACATGGGAATAAATTTATTCATACAAATGTATATATGTACTTACAATGTTTGTAAAACGTATAAAATAGCATATTAGAAAAAAATTAAAACGGCTTCGTGAGTTGCAAAAATAGTAATAGTAGTTGCTGAATAGTAATCTGTATGTATTATTTATGTAAATACATAGATACACGATTTATTTGTACATAAAACCGCACATGATTATAAAAACATTTATAGCAGGCATTACATTTATATATGCATTGGGTGTGCCTAATCCAACAAATTTTAACCTTTTTCTGCAATAAAATAACCATAGGAAACATACATACTTATGTATATATGAAAAAATCTTTCATTAAACCTCTTCACTGATGGCAGAAAAGGATTGTGTTAGATATTTCTGTATGAAACTGTATGAATACGTTCTCATAGTTTGAATTAAGACTTAGTCTTAACTAGATCCGTTCGAACTGAATTTGGGTTTAGATATCGGATTAACAAAAATAGCTGGTACTAAGTTGTCGTATATCTCATAACATACACACGTCTGATTAGTTCTTCTGCCATCCCTAAATTGGAGCGCTAAGGGTTGCGCTTTGAATATTTGACAGTTTACTCATGAGAACTTATATATTTTATCTTGACCCATAGATACTGCGCCTAATGCCTCCGAGTGTTTTTGAACCGTCCGTGTACCAAACTATGGGATACAACTGGGAGGTATATCCTAATAATTGCATCGTCCCAGCCTGTCTTAGTTCCTAGTTCTATTTTGAAGTTTTTTCCAAAGGAATTGGTTCCGGGGTAGCTGAACTCTGAGAGTTTCCATATTCTGAGATGATAGAAGTGGCGGAGCGTGAGAATAACTTCCATACACAAGAAGACGTTGTAGCTTTGTGAGTGAACGCCTGACATCGGTTCTACAGGTTAAGTATTAACTTTATGATCTAAGTAACCGAGAGCTGCTGCCCCAAGATTTTCTCTCAAGGAGTTTGCATACAATTAGTACACTTGTGGCTCTAGACACATCTACGTGATTCTTCCTTGAGAGTTTGACCTTTAATGTAATGCCCAAATATCTCACTTCCGACACAGTGCCGACTTCAATGTCATCGAGAGTTACAACTCTACGGGCACGGTAAGGTTCTTCTTCTTATGAATGGTAGCTGTTTTTTATTAGCTTTATGCTGAAACCCACGTCCACACTATTTCTTCGTTAACGTGCCTTAGTGCCCTTTTGATTATGCCACACACGTTGTCCATTTACTTCCTTCTTGATATGATGACTATGTCGAACCGGTTTGGAGACAAACCTGAATAGTTCGTGTTTCCTTCCGCTTTTATGTATTCGTGTTACTATCCGTTTTAACTGTCATTAGGTCATGCATGCCCCTCTAAGTGCGACCGCTTTCATTTCATTATCTCGCAGGTAGGTGCTTTGTGGTTGCTTGTATTCGCCGGGGGTAGAAATCCGTTATTTTTATTTTTGTTATTTGGTTTTCGTGATTGCGTCGGTTTATGTTCCGTTATTTAGCAGGTACTAGGTTGCTTGCTAGTGCCGGCGGATTTCTATCTAAAACAGATAGTAACACGAATACATAAAAGCGGAAGAAAACACGAACTATTCAGAACGAAAAATTACATTGAAGATAGCACAACGCCGAAACCGGTTTGTCTCCAAACCAAATTTGACAAGGGATGACGGAAAATCGTTCCACAATACATCATACTCCTACCCTGTCGGAAACACAAACAACCAAAAAGAAGTTATTGAATTTTCCTGAGTTTTGCACAAAGTTTAGCGTATTTATTTTTGTGTTTTTTGGTGTAAAATTAACTATATTCTTATAAAAAAGTATCGAAAATATATTAGAATAAAAAACTTTGCATATATTGTGAAAAATTCACTGTGCCAATACTTTTGTTCGTCACTGTATGTAGTTAATATTATGACTTTTTAACTTTTCACAAAACGCCATACGGGCCAAGGCACATTGAACAGGTAGTATCAGTAAAGCAGAAGATTTGATTTTATTTTTTTTTTCAAATTATTAGGTCTCGAATATTTCAAATATTTTTTAATTTCTTCTCACAAAAATTCTAAATTGTTAAAATCTATTTGCATGTAAAATCATTTTTCATAAAAAAACGAGCGATTGAATAGCAGCTTTTGGAACCTTTGCACAACTCAGCCCGCTGATTATTCGGCCTTGCAAAGGCATGGATCAATGCTTCGAGAAGCAAACAAATTTATTAAGAAAGAAAGTTGCAACAATTCTTTTCCAGTTTCAATTTTATCTTATTTTGTTTTTTGTATTTCACATGGCACGCTTTGATTTAGAAAAAAAAAAATCAGAAAAGTTTTTAACACTTTCGATACCAGATATTAACGCTACTACATACCTGTTTGATATGCCTCGATGGAAATATGCGAAGTCTTCGAAAGGAGACCTTAAGTAGTTGATGGTAAAGACTAAAGGTGGATATAGTATTACTAAAGAATAATGTAAGGGAACGGAACAATGACGACAATTGATCACTTTATTTAAAAATACGTCATTTAAATTTGCGCATAATCCGCCCTTGGGTACAAAAATGGTTAGCAAAAACGTATGTATGTTACCATGACGTCTATTATTTAAATACATAAATAGATAAAAGTCTTTTGATTATCTATAAAATATTTGGCCTTTCAAATGAAAAAGAACGACGGAGTTCTTTTTAAGAATGATATGTGGCATTAATTTGTGGTAGATATTTATACAAGTATTTACTTAAATACATACTAAGTATAAGATCATATTTAGAAGTAGGTACTAAAACAATCTAATAAAAATGAGCAGATCTTTTTATGTACATACCTATATAAAAATAAATATGGCACGCGACGGATGCTATTTTTACTCAAGATTTTTGTAAATACATACGAACGTATGTATATATTTTACCTATACATACATACACAATTATGCACTGTCGATTTAACACCCATATAAAGAAAATTTGTATGTGTTTTTGTGTTCTTTTTTTCATTCATCACACTGTTTGGGATTTAGTTTAATTAAAAATTTAAATTATCGGAACGGCCATTAACTCCAAGCATTAATTACTGAGAATTCAATTGACACAATTTTTGTTGTGCGATATATGTGCAAACGAATAAAGAACTGATATATCAGTACATATATATATATGTATATGTTTCATATATACATATGTACCCTACAAAACATCCTTTCAGAGAAATTTTAGACAATTCGTAAAGATCTCATGCGATTTTTTGCCCAATTTTCTTAGATAAAAATAAACTGTGCACACTTGGATTCTTTTACGAAATTTCGGAAGGAAATCGGCAAAGCAATGAAAATAATGCTGCTATGTGAAGAATTTCTTACAGAATTTTTTCAGATTTTTCTTTATTTTTCGTACAGAAATTTCTTTACGAGTTCGTGTCAACCACTTCATATAATTTTCTTTGAAGATTCGTAAAAAAATCGTTACAGATATGGGATACTCCTAAAGATTTCGTTAAGCTTTCGGGAACTTTGGTTTGCAGTGTATGTATGTATATGTATATTTAAAAAGGAAAAACTGACGAAATGATTACAATTTTTTTGCTTTGGAATAATTGTTGTTCTACTTGACATTAAATTTTTTTTTTTTAATAAATAATAGGTTTGTTCCACAAGCTACTCGAAGTCACTTCGAGTTACACATACGCGTTTCACAAGTAAGTTTTAGAGTTTATTTGATATACGCTGACAGTTTGAACTTTGCTCGAGTTTTTCTACAAGTAGCTTGTGGAACAAAACCTAATATATTTTATATAAAATTTCCTTAAAAGGCTAAAAACCAAAAGTTAAGAAATTACTAAAAATAAAAAAATACCGACTAAAAATATTATAAATACATGTATTGATACATATCGTTCGCTTAGAGTGAAAAGGTGCTAAGTCCTCTTAAAAATTTAGGAGGGGTTGGGAAAATTATAATTTTTATATTATTGAGCATATTTATTTTATACATTAAGTATTTTTAAATTGAAAATAGAATTCTGCTTGGTTTTTTGCTAGCTCAACTAGCACTTGCAGAGGATTAACCTCCAGATCCCTATGTGCATTTAGGAGCGCCAACCCAACCAATCTGTACTACTACGCAAATAGGTCTTCAACCTTCGAAGGGTTGAAAACGACCGCTCGCTCGTTGCAACAGATACTGGCATTGTTGCACCTATTTTCAAAAAAACAAAAAAATTCGGATAAAGACTTACACTAGGTGTCAATAACAGTCTCAGGTAGCTCTTCTTTAAGAAGGATAGACCAGTACCAGAAAGAAAGACGGTTATTAAACATACATTTTTGAAGAGAAAAAAGAAGGTACACCTGCGCTACATGGTAAATTCAGCAATGAAATCGTCTGTCGATGTTTGATAGTCATCTGGCCAGTATTTTTTAAAATCTTGTCCCATTTGGCAGAAACCTACTAGGGACCAACTTAAGATGTTTGTTTTTGGCAAGATGTTCTGAATATTTTTTATTAGTTTTTTGTGATTGACAAACCTCACATTTATTTGATTCAAATAATGATCCAAATATGGGAATAAAACTTGAGCAACGAAGGTTTGTAATTGACATTACTCAAATGTTGAAACAAAAATGTTCTTCGAATCAAATTTTTTAAAACTTATAATTTCATAGAAAAAATACTACATACTTTGTACACACAAGCTGCGATTACCGGTAATTTTTTCGTTTATGCTATTTAGCAGACTTAAAATTTTCATAGGTTTCTAGCACCTAAAAAGATTCAAAATCTGTCCTAGATATCGTGTAAAAGTTTGAAGTCGTTTTCTAACTGATTTCAAAAAAAGAGGACGTGACCCGATTTCGATAATTGTTTTTATCGGAAAGGTGATACCTCAAATGTGGTCCCATACATATTTGGTTTAGATCCGATCATCGGATAATGAAGAAATCAACGGTACTCCTAAATTTTTGTGTTTTTTGCTTAAAATTTACTTGTTGAAACGATTTTTTTACTTATTTTTTTTGCATTTAAAAATTTAGTGAGGTTTTCTTTTAATTAAGAAATTTTTTTTTCTATATATGTACATATTTAGAGATTATTTAAACGCACTTCTTTAAATTACTTGCTGAAAAACGACTTTTGAAACCATTCATATCCAAACCCGCAATATGCGTTTTGTCACAAAAAAAAATTATTTAAATTACTTTTCGATTTTCATCATTTATTCACTTTCTTTTTTCAAACCTTTATAAATACCTTGACATTGTATTTTTATTTTTTTGATCTACAAACGCCATATTACTTTTACAAAAACTTTTGTTTACACAGCTTTCATGCAACAGTTTACTAATTACGTATGCATGTACTATGTGTGCCAAATTTTATGTCATTTATTTTCGCTTTTCGTTTATTTCTGAACTATTTATTTATTTTTATTTTTATTTTATGTATGTATGTACATACATATATTCGCTTCCGACCGGTTACCACGCAAAACATTTTTCTTCCACCCATTCTTTTGTTAATTGTTTTATTTATATTTGTATTTCCCCCACAATCAGGCCACACTGCTGCATCTGCTTTTAATTTGTCACCCTCTAGAAAATTATATATTCAAATATCAACGCCCAAACTCTAATATTTTTAAATCGTGTTCTATTCATTTTAACATACTTATGTTTATTACCTTTTCACTGCTAATTTTCGATTAATATATTTTATTATTAACAATTTTTCACTCAAGTAATGTTTTGTGAGAATTTATTATTTTTAGTTTGCTACTAAAATATTTATTAGTTTAGTAGATTAAATTATTTTCCGTTAAACAAAGAAACCCAGTGCACTACTGGTGCTTTAGGTGTGGCGCCAAAATCACATTTATCACTGTTCTTCCTCGAATAAATTGTACGTTTCGAACTGAGAAAAACCCGAAACAATCGCCACCACTGCACAATTTCAACTGAAAATATCTCAAAGGTGACGTGCCTTTAAATCTGCTCCGAACTCTCTGTGGCGAGTAGGTGAGGCACATGGCACAAATACGCTCAAATATGTATACAAATTCAAATTTAGTTTATATATTTGAATAAGTATACCTACGTTAGTATGTGTCTAAGTAATTAACTATGTACGTATGTATGTATATAGACGACTTTCCGTCACGATACCCGTACTCGTGGGTTGATTGTTCCAACAATGCGATTTGTTATTTTCTGCCCATTAAATTCTCACATTCACTCTGTCTTCTGACTCTAAAAGTATGCGTACATATAGACAGGCAATGAAACTTTCAGTGTTGCCACGGAGAAATTTTGTTCCAACCAAAACTTCCTACCAAAATTAAAAGTGTAGATAACATAACACTAGAAAAAATAAAACACAACTAGTATAATAAAAACGAATTAACTACGCATAACAATTCATTTTACTGTACAGACTAATACAATTGTATAATTGTAATCACTCCAACCTTATTCTCTTTAAGAAGTTAGGCACTTTGGAAGGCGCCATCTTTAAAATTTTAGATGAAGAAGACAATCGTTCCCCAAAGTGTAGCAGTCTGCTATTTATGTCACGTGGGATCCACGCTTTGCGAGACAGTCAGCTTCGTTGCCTTCAAACCCTTCATGTCCCGGAACCCACCACATTGTTAAGTTATTGTGAGCTTCCAAGTGGTTCAAAAAAGTTTTACAGCTTTCCACAAGCCTGCTGCCATTTTAAAAGCGTCTAAGGCCTTTAACCTGCCTGACTATCGGACATAATATTTAATTTGGCCCCATTTGTCCTTCTACACAGACTTCGATTGCGAAGACTTTCGCCTGGAATATAGATGGGTATGTGTAAATTGGCAGACTATCTGGAATTTTTGTCCAAATACGCCTGCCCCAGTACTCTCGTCGTCCATCTTTGATGCGTCGGTATACCATGCTTGGGACCTTTCGCCAATCATAGTTATTATCACTTCACAGCAGTCCCTTTCAGGAATTCTAACCTTGTAGGGTTTGTTGAAGGATAGCTCGGGATTATCCAGGAATGGCTTTAGAATCTCCAAATGACCCCGAAGATCCCAAATTTTGTTTTACTGATCATATTAAGCAGTCGTACAGCTCTCCAGCAGGCCTCTTTTTCAAACAGAATAGGCAAAAGAGGAATCCCTGTAATGACACCAAGATCATCCGTTGGACAGGTGCCCACAGCTCCTGTAATGGCCCACGCGGACCAGTCGGTGCAGCTTGCTAAAGGTAGAACCCGCCTTTACTTGCATAGCTTTTGGTCACCAGCCCTGTACCGCACATGTGACAATGGGTCTTACTACCGTATTAAAAGACCAATACAATGAAGTCTCTGTCAGGTGGACAATGGTAAAATGTTTGGATATACATATTTTATATTTTATATTTTTCGCAAATAACTATTATTGTCACGGAACCAACCAAAATCCAATCTAGCCTACCAACCTACCAAATGGAAAAAACCGACCAGTTTTGGTAGGAAAAGTCCATGTTTGGCAACACTGGAAACCCCTCTGCATACATATATATGCATATATGAATGTATATTTACATGCATTCACTCATGGTTGTGTGAGAACTGCATTATTTTATATGTATAGAAATTTTTCTAATCTTGATGATCCTTATGCGAACATACATACGTATATTGCTGATAGTTCGTCAAATATTTTTAGTTTTGTAATAAATTCGTAAAAGTTGTGGTGATTTCGTTTCAACCAAAAAATATCGTCTTTTGATTGCTCATTTCTCTTTCCGTGTTCGATTCTAAATGAAAGGCAAAGGGTGACAAAATTTTGTCTTCGTTTGTTAAAATGTCACACTCTTCTAAAGCAAAGAAGCATATTCTCAGCGCTGTGAAGCTTTGTCAGGCGAGATGGTTGCCCTGAAAATCAGTTGGTTATTTAAAACGACAATAATCAGCCTCATTGCGTAAGTCGTAAATTAGGCTAAATTGTACGACTCGACAACATTGGCATTGTTTACTGTCGTGCTGAAAAAAGTAAACGACGAAATTCGTCGAAAACTATACAATGCTGCCAAGTTTTTCCGTTTTAATACACTAGGCGAGTGGAAATTTTAGGCAATGACGTGAAATTTTCGATACGATTCGACTCTCGAAAAACGACTTGCATTCGACACGACTCTCGCAATGAGGGTGATTATGAAATGCGTGAGCTCGACAAGGACTAGAAGGCATAAACATGCCCTTTTACAGGGTTGAGTGTAACATCAAACACATTTTGCACCGGAGCAGGGCAACATTTTTTTGGAAGAAACGAAATTACCATTAGATTATTTAGCAAAATGCACGCATGCAAGTTTAAACTCGTAAACTGCGTTTATATTGAACATATGGCTGATATTTGATTGGCTAATCTTAGCTTAAACTAGCAAGCTCAAGCGTTTAAACTAACCCACAGCCATGCACTGTAGTAGGGAGTAACTAAGCCAAGTAGATGATTTTTGAACTTAACTGTAGCAAATATTGCCTTAATGCTGCATTCAGGCTTTGACATAATAACACATATACATACACCTCAAAACACATATATACATGTACACACATATGTACATACCCGCTTGCATTTGTAGAGGCATGCACTAGATGTAGTATTTGCATTATGCCCTTACCAACATGTTGCACGACATGTGTTTTAGTTAGAATGACGCATGCTTCGGGCTCTAATATACACACCGTTTCACTTGAACGGGCACATTATTTTGCTTCAAGACTCTGGCTTATGCACTACCATGGACTTGAATAGCGATATACCTTTTTCGTGTTTTTTCTGTGCTATTTTTCTTTTATTTAATTATTTTTCAATTTNACTTGAATAGCGATAAACCTTTTTCGCGTTTTTTCTGCGCTATTTTTCTTTCATTTAATTATTTTTCAATTGAAATAAGTTAATATAAGAATTTTCTGGAGTATGTAATTTTATAGCATAGTCGATTTTAGTAAATAAATGTGCAAGTTGGAAGCAGCTACAAATTACCGTTGANTAGTCGATTTTAGTAAATAAATGTACAAGTTGGCAGCAGCTACAAATCACCGTTGATTTCGCCAATTTTTTTTACTGTTGCTCTTCCGCAAATTTTTATTTTTTTTTCATAATAAAAAATGCGAGCATGTGAATAAAAGAGAAACCAAAAATACTTATATATAAGTTCATTAGAACCAAGGTGTATTAAACAAGGTGTGATTGACAATTCAGTGCGGCTCTCTTTTAAGGTACTATAATGTCAAAAAGTATAAACAAACGAATTAACCCTTAGCTTCCATGTATCTTGCCAGCACTGATGTCCAAGGCTTTTATTTCGATTATAGTTTTGTTTTACTTACATTACCTGGAATATATATATTTTGTGAATAAAATAAAACAAATTGTTTATAAATTTTTTTTTAGCAATTTTCTAGTTTTTAATTGCCCAAGTTTTATGCTTTTGTGCAAAGTAGGATTTTACATTTGTTTCCAATTTTATATGTGAGCTTAACTTT